CCCCCTTCCTCTCTTCCACCCTCGAAGCAGCCCACACACGCACGGGATCGGGGAGGGGAGCGAGGGAAGGGGCCAAGCTCACAGGCCGTGAATAGTTAACAAGCGCTGAGTTGCGACTTGGAATGATTCGTCTCAGGTGCGGCACCGAGAGAGGAGCGTCGCCGCGTCGGGCGAGGAGCAGGAGCGAGGTTGAACGCACAGGCCGACCCCTAACACACTGGGGGAGGCGCCCAGGTGGGAGGTATGGTGGGCGATCCAGTGTAGTGGGCGGGCCTCGTCCCCGCACTGGCAGCACCCCAGGTACATTCCCCCGAGGGAGTGTTTTACTGAACGGCGCGAGGCGCGAGGCGAGTTAAACACTCTAGAGCAAGTGAGGTTAACTAACAGCAGAATCGAGGGGTGTGGAACTGACCAAAGGGTGTACTGTACACATGATTGTGTCTAGAAAATCATCGTTTCAGATTGTGTGTGATTGTGTCGATTGTCTCTGATTGTTTCAGATTGTGGGGTAAATATTGGGACATATTTTGAAAAATTGTGTCGTGATATGGTCCGATTTTGTGTGATTTTTTCGGATCATATGTGGTTGTGTTGATTAGGTGTGATTGTGATTTTTTCAGGTTGTGTATGATTGTCTCTAATTGTAACAGATTGTCGGATAAATATTTTGACATATTTTGCAACATTGTGCCAGATTGTGACTTGATTGTGTCCGATTGTTAAATGATTGTTTGTGAATGTTTTTTTCCCGATTTACATACATTGTGCCCCGTTCCACACCCCTCGATCAGAATGAGGTTCTTTCGGGTTCTCTATCGCGCATACCTGGTATTAGAGCTAAAAAAATCAGTCACGAAATGCAAATCTATCTAGGTGGCATAAACTACCGTGAATGTTGGATTTATTTCTTTGTCATCGGCGTTTTTGGTCGTTCCTGTGTCATTTTTTTTTGTTTCTTTCAGTCGAGAGTGTTTGTCGCGTTAACCGGCACGTGAGGCAGGAGTTCGCAACAGCCGCGCGCATGTGCTTTATAGCCCCGGCAGCCTGTTCGGCTCGGCTCAGCCCGGCTCGGCTCTGCGCGGCTTAGCTCGGCATTGACACGCTGGCGAAACTTTGAGAAATTTGTGGCTGGGTTACCTCTATCGTGCTCTCAACAAGGCCCACGCCCGCAGCACCAGCCCGGCCCGGCAGGACCGACGAGAGCCCCTGGCGGCCGCAGCGTAGGCCGCCCGCCGCGCACCCGCGCGCCAACGGTGCCTACCCGGACCGCGTCAGGCGCTCTGTGGACGGAGGGAGGGAGGGAGGGAGGGAGGGAGGGAGGGAGGGAGGGAGGGAGGGAGGGAGGGAGGGAGGGAGGGAGGGAGGGAGGGAGGGAGGGAGGGAGGGAGGGAGGGAGGGAGGGAGGGAGGGAGGGAGGGAGGGAGGGAGGGAGGGAGGGAGGGAGGGAGGGAGGGAGGGAGGGAGGGAGGGAGGGAGGGAGGGAGGGAGGGAGGGAGGGAGGGAGGGAGGGAGGGAGGGAGGGAGGGAGGGAGGGAGGGAGGGAGGGAGGGAGGGAGGGAGGGAGGGAGGGAGGGAGGGAGGGAGGGAGGGAGGGAGGGAGGGAGGGAGGGAGGGAGGGAGGGAGGGAGGGAGGGAGGGAGGGAGGGAGGGAGGGAGGGAGGGAGGGAGGGAGGGAGGGAGGGAGGGAGGGAGGGAGGGAGGGAGGGAGGGAGGGAGGGAGGGAGGGAGGGAGGGAGGGAGGGAGGGAGGGAGGGAGGGAGGGAGGGAGGGAGGGAGGGAGGGAGGGAGGGAGGGAGGGAGGGAGGGAGGGAGGGAGGGAGGGAGGGAGGGAGGGAGGGAGGGAGGGAGGGAGGGAGGGAGGGAGGGAGGGAGGGAGGGAGGGAGGGAGGGAGGGAGGGAGGGAGGGAGGGAGGGAGGGAGGGAGGGAGGGAGGGAGGGAGGGAGGGAGGGAGGGAGGGAGGGAGGGAGGGAGGGAGGGAGGGAGGGAGGGAGGGAGGGAGGGAGGGAGGGAGGGAGGGAGGGAGGGAGGGAGGGAGGGAGGGAGGGAGGGAGGGAGGGAGGGAGGGAGGGAGGGAGGGAGGGAGGGAGGGAGGGAGGGAGGGAGGGAGGGAGGGAGGGAGGGAGGGAGGGAGGGAGGGAGGGAGGGAGGGAGGGAGGGAGGGAGGGAGGGAGGGAGGGAGGGAGGGAGGGAGGGAGGGAGGGAGGGAGGGAGGGAGGGAGGGAGGGAGGGAGGGAGGGAGGGAGGGAGGGAGGGAGGGAGGGAGGGAGGGAGGGAGGGAGGGAGGGAGGGAGGGAGGGAGGGAGGGAGGGAGGGAGGGAGGGAGGGAGGGAGGGAGGGAGGGAGGGAGGGAGGGAGGGAGGGAGGGAGGGAGGGAGGGAGGGAGGGAGGGAGGGAGGGAGGGAGGGAGGGAGGGAGGGAGGGAGGGAGGGAGGGAGGGAGGGAGGGAGGGAGGGAGGGAGGGAGGGAGGGAGGGAGGGAGGGAGGGAGGGAGGGAGGGAGGGAGGGAGGGAGGGAGGGAGGGAGGGAGGGAGGGAGGGAGGGAGGGAGGGAGGGAGGGAGGGAGGGAGGGAGGGAGGGAGGGAGGGAGGGAGGGAGGGAGGGAGGGAGGGAGGGAGGGAGGGAGGGAGGGAGGGAGGGAGGGAGGGAGGGAGGGAGGGAGGGAGGGAGGGAGGGAGGGAGGGAGGGAGGGAGGGAGGGAGGGAGGGAGGGAGGGAGGGAGGGAGGGAGGGAGGGAGGGAGGGAGGGAGGGAGGGAGGGAGGGAGGGAGGGAGGGAGGGAGGGAGGGAGGGAGGGAGGGAGGGAGGGAGGGAGGGAGGGAGGGAGGGAGGGAGGGAGGGAGGGAGGGAGGGAGGGAGGGAGGGAGGGAGGGAGGGAGGGAGGGAGGGAGGGAGGGAGGGAGGGAGGGAGGGAGGGAGGGAGGGAGGGAGGGAGGGAGGGAGGGAGGGAGGGAGGGAGGGAGGGAGGGAGGGAGGGAGGGAGGGAGGGAGGGAGGGAGGGAGGGAGGGAGGGAGGGAGGGAGGGAGGGAGGGAGGGAGGGAGGGAGGGAGGGAGGGAGGGAGGGAGGGAGGGAGGGAGGGAGGGAGGGAGGGAGGGAGGGAGGGAGGGAGGGAGGGAGGGAGGGAGGGAGGGAGGGAGGGAGGGAGGGAGGGAGGGAGGGAGGGAGGGAGGGAGGGAGGGAGGGAGGGAGGGAGGGAGGGAGGGAGGGAGGGAGGGAGGGAGGGAGGGAGGGAGGGAGGGAGGGAGGGAGGGAGGGAGGGAGGGAGGGAGGGAGGGAGGGAGGGAGGGAGGGAGGGAGGGAGGGAGGGAGGGAGGGAGGGAGGGAGGGAGGGAGGGAGGGAGGGAGGGAGGGAGGGAGGGAGGGAGGGAGGGAGGGAGGGAGGGAGGGAGGGAGGGAGGGAGGGAGGGAGGGAGGGAGGGAGGGAGGGAGGGAGGGAGGGAGGGAGGGAGGGAGGGAGGGAGGGAGGGAGGGAGGGAGGGAGGGAGGGAGGGAGGGAGGGAGGGAGGGAGGGAGGGAGGGAGGGAGGGAGGGAGGGAGGGAGGGAGGGAGGGAGGGAGGGAGGGAGGGAGGGAGGGAGGGAGGGAGGGAGGGAGGGAGGGAGGGAGGGAGGGAGGGAGGGAGGGAGGGAGGGAGGGAGGGAGGGAGGGAGGGAGGGAGGGAGGGAGGGAGGGAGGGAGGGAGGGAGGGAGGGAGGGAGGGAGGGAGGGAGGGAGGGAGGGAGGGAGGGAGGGAGGGAGGGAGGGAGGGAGGGAGGGAGGGAGGGAGGGAGGGAGGGAGGGAGGGAGGGAGGGAGGGAGGGAGGGAGGGAGGGAGGGAGGGAGGGAGGGAGGGAGGGAGGGAGGGAGGGAGGGAGGGAGGGAGGGAGGGAGGGAGGGAGGGAGGGAGGGAGGGAGGGAGGGAGGGAGGGAGGGAGGGAGGGAGGGAGGGAGGGAGGGAGGGAGGGAGGGAGGGAGGGAGGGAGGGAGGGAGGGAGGGAGGGAGGGAGGGA